ACTGCTCTTCATTTCCACCCCGACCCACAGTGCACGGTGTGTTCGCCCTCAGCCATCTCTTTCCTCCCATTGTAGTGTGACTCCTTACCCTGCTCTAATGCTCTGACTTCACTTTGCTGCTCCAGCAGATGGCCGGTGGAAGTGGTCATTACAATACTTCTTCACCTTCTGAGTGAGGAATTTGTGGTAGGGTTGGGAGTGGGGCTGTCTGTTCTAGAAGTGAGTAGTAGCTTCCACTTTAAACATATGAATTATGAAGGGATAGAGACAGGGGTTTGGGGGGGATGGTAAAGGAAAGAATAGTTTATTACTAATTTCCCTACATGTCTGGTTCTTTTTCCTTGATTTCTTAGGTAACTCAACTATCTAATGTTGCCTGCATCTTTCTCTATTTCTGGAAATTATAGACCCTTCTAGAAGAGTCTGAGAGCCTGTTGCTAGTACTTCTTTTAGTCTACCCTCTTAGAGTATAATGACTGAAGGCAAGAACATTCACATGACAAAGGGTCATTCAGAAATTATTATAGGCCCTGTATTCAGTGCTGAAGAGACAAAGATGAATGAGAGACACTCCTACCCCCAAGGAGCTCATACTTGCTGAAGGGAGATTAGGCATGCAAAGTTATCATTTAGTAGGATAAGGATTCTAGTGGAAGATTGAGGTCATGGGGACACTGAGGATAGAATGCCACCAAATGATGAGGAAAGCCTTCTTCGAGGTGGTGGTACTTTAACACAGATATGAATGATAAATAGGAGCATGCTGGCTGAAAAAGGGGAGATTGTTCTCTTTTGCCAAGCTGTGTATGATTTAATAGAAGAGCTAGGAAAGATGTGTACATACGCCATATGAAAAGTGAGTAATGTGTGTGGGGAGGAGAGAGAATCACATGGGTCAGATTTTTTGGGATTTGGGGACTGGTCATTTACTTTGTTAGTGTTTTTGGTCTTGTTCCCAAAGTGTCTGAGGCATCAAAAAAACTGCTCTTGGTGCTCGCACCTCGGAGTTCCTTGACTGACAAAATGCAAGTTAGCAAAATTTCCCATGAGTCATCTGCATTATTCAGGAACCTTTTGAGTGTTGTCATTGTGGGAGGATACGAAGAAAAGAAAGATGACTGGTGCCTCTTTACGTATGCTGGGACGGGTGTGATCCCGAGAAGGTAGGAGTGCTCTGCTAGGCTGACCCAGCACTGTTTGTGCCCCTTTCTGGCTAGTACCAGTGCAAGCATGTCCCCTGAACCCATCTTTCCAGTGCTCTTCCATTAGTCTCTGTCACTGTTACCTCATCATTGTCAGGCAGGCCTGATTAAACTGTGTTGTAGGAGGACAGATAGTTTTTATTTTCCTTGTGAGCTATGATACAAGTTAAATCTGTGCTAGCATTATTTACTCAGCTTTTGCCTGTTATCATAAAATTTAGCACATCCCCATTTTGTCCTTACTCTCCTTTCTAATCAGGCGTTCCTTTGAATTGTCATTAATCTTCTTTGATGTGTGTTTACATTTTAACATTATCTATTTTAAGCCTTTTTATCTTTTCTTCATCTCCTACAGGGTTTTTTTTTTTTTTTTTTTTGGCTTTAGTCACAGTGCCTCAGATCCTTGCTTTCCCTTATACCTGTTCCTACAGCAGTGTTTCCTCTGCCTACTAACTCATGGATCTCTCTTCTCTTAGTCTCTGACTCTTACCCATATCAATTGTGCTTAGTGGCTTCAGGAAAAATCCTGGGGTAGGCCTGTGACGTTTGCCTTTGCTGCATCTCATCCCAATTCTCCCATCTCTTTTCCTTACCTTGTTCTACCTCTGTCTTAAATAAAATCAGCATAAATGTGCTGCTTTACAAACATGGGCCAGGAACTTGGCCAGCCTTAGAGGGGATTCCAGCATGGCTTTAAGGAGTATATGGTCTGGTGTGGGAGGTAGATCTGTAAATAACAAAGATAAAGTCTGAAATATCATAAGATTTTTGAGGGACTCAGAAGATAATGAGGGATAAAATTAGAGTAGCATGAGTAGGAAAAGGGAATGAGGAGCATTACAGGAAAGCCTCACCCTCTACTAGCTAATTATGACAGAGCATGACATTGGACACTCCCTTGTCTTGCTGGCATCTGGGTCCAGTCTGATTCACTTTGGCTAGGGTTATCTTTTGCTAGCTGCTTCTGTTTCACCAAGAAATCCTGAGCACCAAGAAATCCTGGGTGTGTGTGTCCACCCTCATGTGTGATTCCTGCCTGACTCTTGCTACTTTGTTTCATTTGTAGGTTTCTCATATGGTCTTGGGGTCCTGTCTTCCCACTGCAGTCTTCCCATAGTCTCCCCACTGGATGTGGCTGGACAGGTTTAGTCCTGTGTCTTAGAGCTGCTCTATGTATTTTCCTTGCGGGCCTTGGGCATAAGTAGAAAATAGGGTTGAAGGCAACACAGGCGATAGGAAGCATTGTCAGGTTGGAATTTCTCTAAGTTTCAGCCGCTATGGTATATACATGTATATATATATACCTCCCAGACTGACCCAGTTAGTTCTGCTATAGTTGTTTTTGCAGAGTCACCAATCTCCTCGGTTAAGATGGAAAAGAACCATAAAAAGACAATGGTAATAATAGACTGAGTTTTGACCTATTTATCCTTGAATACTTTCCCAAGAGATAGAGGTAGGATAATGGGGAATTTGGTTATCAGGGTGTTGTTTGGTGTTTAAATATCTTGCCTATGGTTAGTGTAAGGGCTTTAGCCTCCCTCGACTATCTGCAAGTGTTGTTAACATCTAGCTCTTGGAAATCTAGCCTTTGGCAAAGTATGCACTCGGTGTTTCTAAACCACTTGTGGAAACCTGAGCTGGAACTTGCTATTGACAAAAGGAAGGTGCTTCTTTCTAGATTTAGTTGAAAATCTCCTCATGTTTGGAGCAGGTTGGATCATACTTCTGCAAACTCAATTGGATCCATTTTTTCATTTTTGTGCTTTCACCTATTAGGGTAGTATGTCATTTCATGATCCTGAATCTCATATATTACATATCTCTTCTGGAACCTGTAAATCCTTCCAGAGAAAGTTATAGAAATGCTGCCTTTCTAAAGTGAGTTTCAGACTCAGAGCAGTTGGTACGCAGAAATCTTTATTGAATGAATAAAATTTTAGTAAACTGGGTAGCTGTTACTCAGTTTATGGAATGTGTAACTGGGAAGAAACCTATAAAACAACTTTCAGTAACATTTGACATAGAACATGAACAATCATTTCTTATAGAATACACATTTGGTAACAGTCTCAACCTGTACTTACATATTAGCTTATGCTTTTCACAAGGTATCTATGTGTGAAAGCCCTTGAGATGATCTAAATGAGTACTGCTGCCATTCCCATTTTACAAATTCCTGAAATAAAGGCTAAAATACCAGTATGATAGTCCTGGGATTAGAACTCATAACCTAGTTCAGTACTTTTTCCTTTGCCAACTGTTCAGACAAAAAATTTACATGAGTTTGTGATAATAAGAGAAAAGTAGAGCAATGGGTAAGTTTTTTCTTTTTTTTTTTTTTTTTTACCATACTGCTTTTATTCAATTTAAGAAGATGTCCTTTATTCTGAGATTCTTTTGTTATATACTAAGTACCTAGCTATGAACCACCTGTGTACACAGGCCCTGGGTATAGTGTTGAACAAGGCAGACACAGAGCTTATATTTTAACGAAGGAGAAGTAATAAGTAAACAATAATATAACAATAACTAAGTTCAGGTAGTTTTAGAGCTCTTAAGAAAATAGAGAAAGGCTGCTGGTGGTGGTATTTTTATATGTGATATATTCCTGAAAATGACTATCAGTGTTTAATGTACATAGTGTTTTTAAGGAAGATTCTTCCCTCAGGAATTCAAGCAGTCATAAAACATTTCTTCAGTTTGGTGTTTGGAGGATTCATTCATGTTAATATATTTGTTTTCTTTTTCTTCAAAACTGACCTCAAGTCCAAAATGGGCTTAAGTCCAGAGAATATCTCTCTGAGGCTAAAGGTTTTCTGCTCCAAGAACCCCTGATGATTGATTACCATACCTCTTTCATGATATTGAGGCTATGAGAGCCAAACTTACTGCTAGCCAAATCTACCATTTCACTCATCTTTATAAAATAATAAAGGCAAAATACTCGACAACGGTGCTTTCTTACTTTTTTTAAATTAGCAACAGAAGTTTCTTCAAAGAATATTCTGGATGCCCCAGTCTATAAAACAGCTGTGGCTCCAAGCCACAAGCATACTCTCCTCTTTTCCACACCTTAATGGCTGCTGAGGAATACTTGAGAAGTCACTAAGCCTTTGCATAACACAGGGTGAAAACTGTAATCAAAAATTCAAATTGTAAATCCTGCCATAAAAAGATAGTGGTGTTTTTGAAACTGGAAGAGCCACCATACCAGAGCTTCACAGTCATGTTTTGGGATTTTTGAAAGTCCACATTCAATGAAAAAATGGTTTTATATGTCCATTTTTACTTAAAAATATTTTCAGGTAGCATTTACTATGTAAAGCGAATTCAAACTTAATTTTTTTTTAATGTTTATTTATTTTTGAGAGAGAGAGAGAGAGACAGAGCAGGAGCAGATAGGGAAGGGGCAGAGAGAGAGACACACACATAGAATCTGAACAGGCTCCAGTGCAGAGCCTGGCGCGGGGACTGAAGCCACAAACTGTGAGATTACAACCTGAGCCGAAGTCAGACTTAACTGACTGGGCCACCCAGGCGCCCCAAAGCAAATTCAAACTTTTTAATTGTAGCTGTTAATTCAGAGCATACTTTTCCCTCCAATTTTATTGATATAATTGGCACACACACTATATAAGTTTAAGGTGTACAACATAGTAAATTGACTTACATGTATTGTAAAATTATTATGACAATACAGAGCATACCTTTTATATAATGTGGGCATGATGGTGCTAAAATGGGGCTAAAATACTTTTTTTTTGCTAGTTTAATTTTTTTCTTCTTGCCTTCTAGTTTGCTAGAGTTTGGATACCGGATCCTGAGGAAGTTTGGAAGTCAGCAGAACTGCTCAAAGATTATAAACCAGGAGATAAAGTCCTCTTGCTTCACCTTGAGGAAGGAAAGGTAAGAATTTTGCTTTAATTTGTTGTCATTGGCATAAAGTGAAGGGAATTCAGAAGTGGGAGTTTGCTGTGACGTACCACACTTCAGATGGAAGTTAAATTTTGAATTAATCTAATATTTTTACTTATTAAATTGAAAAAAAAGCAAAATAGCAAACTCAATTTTCTACCACAATGGGTTAGTCAAAATGGTAGAACTGTAAAAATCTGTTATTTGGTTATAAATTTATTATGATTAGATTTAGATTCACATCTAATCCTTTCAAAGATATGCCTGTTTATTTTTTTTAGGTTAGCATTAATTATTTCATAGTAACTAAGAAAACATTGCTTAAGGAGCCAGCCTGATACTTGTTATTTGTTGCTCATAATCATTTGAGAAATATTTACTGAGAAGCTTTTATGTATAAAACTGTTCACTAGCAACCAGAAAAACTTAAAACCATTCATGTCTGTGTATTTTTCTGTCTCCATTCACTGCATTGGTGGACTTCTCTTAGTTGCTCGTTTTTATTTAATTTTTATTTTTAAGTTATTTTTGTAAGTTTATTTATTTGAGAGAGAGGGCGTGTGTGAGCACAAGTAGGGGAGGGTCAGAGAGAGAGAATCCCAAGCAGGCTCTGCACTACCAGTGTGGAGCCCAACGTGGGGCTCAAACTCATGTACCATGAGATCATGATTGGAGCCAAAACCAAGAGTTGGATGCTTAAATGACTGAGCCACTCAGGCACCCGAGTTGTAACTTTTTAATCTCGCCACTGCATTTGACAAGACATGTCACACTTTTTCCTTAAAAACCTTTATGACATTAATTTTCTTTAAACAACTTATCTAGCCAGGGAAACTAGATACAAAGACATGAAAAGTTACATAAAATATAGGATCTAAAGAGTAGTTCAACACCACAATACTAAGGATGTCAAAAGATTATGATGAACTATTACCATATGAGTATTACTCTCCCAACAGTTAGCTTGTATGGAGCACTTACTATCTGCCAAGCATAGTTCTTAGTGTTTTATTTGCTCTAACTCATTTAATCCTCACAATGATCCTATGAAGTAGGGCAGTTATTATTACCACTTTATGGATGAAGGAACCAGGGCTCAGAGAGATTACTCAAGATTATACAGCTATTAGGGAATGAAGCTGGGATTTTAAACCAGAAGATTTATCTTCATGATTTGTGCTCTCACAGCCACTCTGCTATGTTGTAAAGAAAGACAGTAATGGCTCTAGGATCCATAAGAGGAAAATTTCATTATTGGCTGCTTTGTCAGGGAAGGCTTCAAGGAGGAGGAATGATTTTGACTGGATCTTGAAAGGTAGATAGATTGTGAATTGACAAGGAGAAGTGGGTAGACCTTATGAGGACTGGAATGTATTTTGGAGATAGTGAATATAACAAGTTGACTGGAGCAGAGATTTGGAAAGGTGTGTTTTGAGTTCCAGGCTTCCATATTAAAGTATCTGCTAAATAGCATGTTGGCAAAAGGTGCTCTTTGACATCAATGTCTGGTAAGAGAAATAGATATATTTATGGTTAGTATGGCACATGATATAATAAAAACAAGGAACAAAAGTAGAACAGAGTGGAGAGTGGTCAGACGGGCTGGTGAAGGTAAGGAGTCAGAGAGACATTGTCTGAAGAATGAGTAGACAAGGGGAAGTGTAATTCAGGGATCCAGAGAACACATGTGAAGGCAGGGAGGCATGCACAGTAATGTGCTTTTGGGAACCTACACAAGTTCCATGTTGTTAGAATGTGAAGTAAGAGTACAGGACTGGCAAGAAGATGGGGGGTGAGAACTAGAGGACCTGGTGATCATGTTAAAACTCTTGGACTTCAAGTGATATGCGATGGGGAGTGATTGTAGTATTTTTAAACAGAGGAAGGATGCCTGATTTATGTTTTATTTTTTTTTTTAATTTTTTATGTTTTATTTATTTTTGAGAGAGAGAGCAGAGGAGGGTCAGAGAGAGAAGGAGACACAGAATTTAAAGACAGACTCCAGGCTCTGAGCTGGCTGTCGGCACAGAGACCGATGCAGGGCTTGAACCCATGAACCATGAGATCATGACCTGAGCCAAAGTCAGACGCTTAACCGACTGAACCACCCAGGTGCCCCTGATTTGTGTTTTAGAAAGGATTCATTGGTGGAAGCACGGAGGATGAATTTCAGGAGAGCAAAACAGAGGCAAGGGTAGTTGAGAAAAAGGCAGAGAAGAATTAGCCTGATTAAGAGGGCCTTGAATGTCAAATTAAGGAAATAATGTATTCAACTGCTCTGTGTTAGGTACAACATTAGGCACTGTGAGCTGTATTTTCTTATGTTAATTCTCACAACCCTGTAGGTTGGTAGGTAGTATTATAACTATTTTCCAAATAAGGAAGCCAAGGCTCAGAGATATTAAGTAGTCCTGAGATTACATAGCCAGAGTGACTTTTGTGTATTGCAGAGACCAGTGCAAAGACCATTCAGTTTGTGGAAAAACATTATATCCTAATAGACAGGGAGGGAGAGGTCGAGGGGCAGATTGTAAATTCCTCTCCATTTAGCATGATTCATTCCAACCTATTTTGCATATTTGACCTCTGTATCTCAGCAATGTTAAGAAAAGTGGCTTTTTACAGAAGCAGTTAGTCCTTCTCTACAATTAAATTATGTTTTTTTTCCTTTTTCCTTGTCATATATTATTTGCCCTTAATACCTAAGTGATTATGTATTAATCACTCACATTGAGTGATAAATACATAAGTGATTATGTATTAATCACTCACATTGAGTGATAATTTCCATGCTGGGCTTTGCCATAAAGCCTTATTTTCCTTGGCTTTAAAGTGAGTAGTACTTCTAAACTTCTGAAGCCAATCACCTCATTAAAAATCAAATGAAAACTATAACTATAATTCCAAAAAACAATACATATATGTATATATATTTACATATGCACATATGTACAGTTAACAGCTAATTTCAGGAGATTCTTAGACCTCTCAGAGTTCAGAGGTTCCCAGATACTTACTACATGCCATGCATTGCATCATTTAATTTTTACCACACCCCTGTGAGCTATTTCTATTATGCCCTTTCTACAAATGAAAGATTAAGATCAAGTAACATACTCAAGGCCACAAAAGAAGTAAGTACCATTTTCAGGATTTGAACCCGGGTTGATTTGACTGTAGAGATAAGCTCTTGACCACTCTTTATTGCCTACTCACTTATCACAGGTGAAGAGAAAGAGAGGGAAAGAAAGAAGGTTATTTAAAGATTAAAGACTTCTGGTTCACTAATGGGTAAAAAGCAGTCTAGGCTTCTCAAACTATATTAGCAAAAATTATTAATACAGGTTAATACATCTAGTGAGAAAAAAGACTCCATTTCCACCATTTTCTGTGGCTTTGGGGAATGTGCCAGGAAAACAATGTGTTTAATAGTTGAGAAGCAAATCAGGAATAGGAAATAAGCAAAATGCATGGACCTGTTTCACTTTTATTGCCATGATTTATCCAGATGCTCTATCTTGTGCATTTTCAGGATTTGGAATATCGTCTAGATCCAAAGACCAAGGAACTGCCTCACCTAAGAAACCCTGACATACTTGTGGGTGAAAATGACCTCACAGCCCTCAGCTATCTTCATGAGCCTGCTGTGCTCCACAATCTCAGAGTCCGCTTTATTGACTCCAAACTTATTTATACATATTGTGGTAAGTGTACCTTGCTGTCTAAGTGGACCAGGAACTCTTCCCTCTAATGGACATAGACATGGAAATATTGTGCATGGGGACAGAAGACTGTAGTTGGATTTCCTCCTAGAAAGAGAATCACTTGAGTTATCAAAAAAGATTTGCCAGTGTTCATTAGCTCATCGCATTTTGTGCTGAATAAGCTCTTCTGTAAAGTTCATAAATTTGCTCAAAACAAAAAAAACCAAAAAGCTGGGCTGGGCCCATCTTCCGTATTTTCTTCCTTCCAAAGAAATTATTTGCCAAATTCAGTGACAGTTTGCCAGTTATTTTCATCTCTGACAAGAACTGCTGTATGAAGAGTAGCTGTCCAGACTTATCTTTGGAGCAGGTTCAGGTTTAGGAGCAGGTTCAAGTTTAGGAGCAGGTTCAGGTTTAGGAGCAGGTTCAGATTTAGTGTTCTCTTGTTCTCAGTGCAGGACTGACAACTCACAGCAACTATTCTTGCTTGATATGTTTGTCTGGGCCCGTGCCCACTGCACTGTTAGCTGCCAGTGGCCCAGCTCAGGATTCTTCTTTCTCTTGGAAATTAAGCACATGTACATTTGGGCTCCTCCCTGCTTTCCTTCTTTTGTCTATTTTTTTCTTAACTTTTATTTTCTCCCTTGTCCCTAGCTCTTTTCTCTACTGACTTCTTATCTTTCTTTCACTAATTATTCTCCCCTGGCCTCAGATCTGGGATTTCATTCATTTTCTTTTAAGTCTGTTTGCTTGGTGTAACCAACTCAGCAGTTATCATTTTTTCCTTACTCTGCTGCTTTGGACAGAGACAACTATCTTGTCTTCTTAAAGGAATTTATATCTCTTGTATTCTTGATACTAACTCTTTTTCTTCTTTATTAACTAAATATTTCTGATTCTCAATTTTCATTTCTCCCATCACTTTTTTCTTGTATATATGTTACCTTCTCAGTAAAGCCTTCCCAGCCCACTTTATCTAAATCATAAATTCCTTTACCCCTTCTAAGTTTCCGTCTTCTTTCTCTGTTTAGTTTTTCTCCTTTTTCCTTTTCACTGTCTAACCTGTGGTATTTATTTTTTCTTGTTAATTGTCTGAGTTTCCTACTAGAAGGTCCATGAGGATAAAGATTTGTCTTTTTTTGTTTACTATTATAAACCTAGCACTCAGAAAACACTTGAGACATACTTGGAACTGAATACATATTTGTTGAATGAATTCTTCATTAATTTAAAAAACACTTCCTATAAAATTTAAGGAAATATAAAAAAGGTATTTAAAAAGGAAAAATAATTACATGTAATTCACTACTGAAAAATAACCAGTATTATGTTGACATATCCTATATGTGTGTATATGTGAGAGTATAAATAGATATGAAATTAGAATTAGCCTGTAGATAGTTTTGTATCATGTTTTCCTCTGATTTTTAATATTCTTTAGAAACATGATTTGTAGTGATAGCACAAATGTCGACCATGTCTGTCATATGGATGTAAGAAAATATTTAGCTACTCTTCCTTTATTATATAGTTTGTTTCTGCTCTTCACTCTTGTTAATAATATTATGATAAATACCTTTATGAAAAAAAAACCCTTTGCTTTCTCTGATTATTTCATTTGGATAAATTTCTAAAAGTGTAATTTTTGATTTAAGTATTATGAAAATATGTAAAGTTCTTTCAACATTGCCATAGTTTTTACCTTTAGTAACCTGGGCCAGTTTTTAAATGATGTGTTAGTTAGGTCTGTGTGTAATGTGGTTAGAGACAAAGGCTGTGATATATTTTGATTTTTAACAATTTGTTAGTTTAAGATTATCTGAAGTTGAAATTTGTGTTAACTGTGATTCTTACATTACCAAGTTAAGTATGTCCATTAGTATATCACTGACTTCTTTTGTTTTTTTACCTCTTTCCCAGGTATAGTCCTAGTAGCTATAAATCCTTATGAACAGCTGCCTATTTATGGAGAAGATATTATTAATGCATATAGTGGTCAGAATATGGGTGATATGGATCCACATATCTTTGCAGTAGCTGAAGAAGCTTACAAGCAAATGGCCAGGTTGGTGGAAGCTCTATTTTTTCATGACTCTTACTAGATGTGATAATTTGTTCTTTGCTGACTCACAGATATTTTAAAATACAGTGAAGAGCAACTGATAAATTATTATTAAATAAATAGCCTTGACTATTTCAGGTGGCCTGCATTATTATGAAAATAACTTCCTATTTATAAGAGAACATACAGTTAAAAAATTTTTTTTAATGTTTTATTTATTTCTGAGAGAGAGAGAGACTGCGTGAGCAGGGGAGGGTCAAAGAGAGAGGGAGACACAGAATCTGAAACAGGCTCCAGGCTCTGAGCTGGCTGTCAGCACAGAGCCTGATGCGGGGCTCAAACCCACGACCGGAGCGAAAGTCAGACACGCAACTGACTAAGCCACCCAGGTGCCCCAGAACATACAGTTTTTAAAAACTGACTTTGGGGAGCACCTGGGTGGCTCAGTCAGTGAATGGTCCATCTCTTGGTTTTGGCTCAGGTCATGATCTTATGGTTCTTGGGTTCGAGCCCTGCATCAGGCTCCATGCTGACAGTACAGACCCTGCTTGGAATTCTCTCTCTCTCCCTCTCTCTCTGTCCTTCTCTTGCTCTCGCTCTCTCAAAAAAAATAAATAAACTTCATTTAAAAAAAACTGCCTTTGGAATCTCCTCATGATCTTGTGACTATGTGCAAAGACAGATATTATATTTACAGATGAGTGGATCAAGGGTTAGTGGTAATAGGTGATGTGCTCACTATCATTCAGCTAATGAGTGGCAGAACAGAAATAAAAAGGCTAAGAACAAGAGGAAATCTGTCTGTATTTTAGAGAATTAAATCTGACGGAAACTATGAACTTAATGTTAGTATTATGTTCTAGTGTCCACTGATCCTGAATAGCATCAGTAAAATGTCTTTGATGTTAATCATGGAACCCTAACACTACAAGAATAGAAAACCAGAGGAAAAAGCTACTTTCAGGCCCAGAATATACTCATAATAATGTACTAATACAAAACTATGGATGTATAGAACCATATATATATTTAATTCATATTTCCAGTCTTCAGGTAAGACCAGCATATATCCTCAAGCAATTTATGAAGTGGAGAAAAAACTAATACTGCAGAGGTTTTATTTTCTCCTTTCCAAATGGGGAGAGTGTTTGCACATAATTGGACCAGCATGTGACAGAATTTTAGAAATATTTCATTGACAGAGTCATTATGCCCTTTTATTAATAAAATACTATTATTTCTAATAATAGCTATTTAGTACTCTGTCTTTGCAAGATACTGTTTAATTGCCTTCCATTTTGTTAAGTAATTTTTATCCTCACAGGAGCCTTCTGAAGTTGGTCCTATTATTGATCTTCATTTTACAAATGAGAAAATTTAAGCAGTAAGAAGTTATTTAACTTACCTAAGGCCACATAACTAGGAAGACTAGCTTTCAAATTCCATTAGTCTAACACTATAAAATATTATCATATTAAGTATAAAATGACTATAGTTTTGTACTACATAAGATGCTGTATTATACCAGATATTATTATAAAATAGGAACTAGTGTCAAAAGTGTGAGAAATGTTACTTTTTAAGCTTTAAGATGGAATTTACCATCTACCAGCATAATTTTCCCCTAAAATTAGCAAACTATAGAAATGATCCCTGAAAGTATAGTCTTTTTTCCCCTAAAATTAGAAAACCCACCAGTATTTAATTTATATAGTCCTGGAGCATTACAATACAAGTTAGCACTGCACAAGTACAGCCAGAGAGCTGTCAGGCAGAGAGGGAATTGCATGGAGTGCTAGGCCCTAAAAATTATATCTAAAAAATGTTATATTGCTCATAGAGAATTAAATGACTTCTTTGAAAATACTAATCTGAAAAATACTAATATGAAAGTCTGGTTTGTAACATCTTTGTCATAGGAAATCCAAGAATAGTGTTAGATCTATATGAATATTTCTGGCTTTTCAACCCTAGATTTACTTTGGTTTCCTAACATTTTTTCAAGCCTCATTATTCATTCCCCTATGACTCAGCTAGTCAGTGTGATTTCTTTACGGCAGTTTCGCTGGTTTCTTTTCCTTTTGCTCAGTTTGTTTTTTTAGGCAGTTTTAAAATGCACTTCAGTTATGATATTATGTTCACCATTTATAAATTTGTACACAGAAAATGTGCTACTACAGCTAAATAGACCATGTCTCTTAGGCCTACAGTTGGAGATAGATATTGCAGGATCCTTTCTTGGCATTTTTTCCTTACCAAGTGATGATGTGCCATTCTTAGCGGATGTGAATCCCGGAGTTTCACATTTCCAGTACTCCCAGAAGCCTACATCTTCAGGGAAGGTAGTCACTTGTTCACTAGACCTTTTATTGAACACCATCCAGGCACTGTCCTACACATAGGAGACACAACAGCAAACAAAGAAGACAAAATAGACAAAGTTCTTACCCTCCTGAAGTGACGGACAAGATACAGTTTTTCCCATATTAATAAGTGCTATCCTGGAAAGTAAAGTTAGGAAAGTGGGTAAGGAATGCCAGGTAGGCCAGAAGGCATATGTACTAGGCTCAGGGAAAGCCTCATTATAAAATTGCCTCTCCATTTTTTTTCCAAACTTAAGAAAACCTTAGACTTACAAAAAGATTGGAAAAATAGTACACAGAGGTACCATATGCCCTATATCCAGTTTCCTTAAATGTTAACATGTTATATAACCATAGTAATTGAAACCAGCAAATTCACATTGTTCTAATACTGTTAAGTAATCTAAAAACCTTGTTCACAGTTCATCATTTCCCCTTCAATGCCCTTTTTCTGGTCTAGGATTCAATCTAGAATCATACATTGTACCTCATTCAGTCTCCTTAGGCTCCTCCAATCTAGAACCATCCATGAGTCCTCTTTTCTTTGATGATTAGTTTGACACTTTTGAATACATACCAGCCAGTTCTCTTGTAGGCTCTGAGGACACAGCAGTAGAAAAATTAGGCAAAATAGACTCCAAAAATTCTTACCGTCCTGCAAGTTTACATTTTTTTTTCCCTGATTGAGTAATTGAAGCTAGCCATGCATTTTGGATAGGCATATCACAGAAGTGGTGTGCCTTTCATCATACAGAGGTGATACAAGATACTAATTCCTAGGGATGTTAACTTTCATAACTTAGTTAAGGCAGTATCTACCAGATTTCTCTATTATAATTATTATTTTATTTTTTTAAATGTTTTTAAATGTTTATTTATTTTTGAGATAGAGACAGAGCACAAGCAAGGGAGGGGCAGAGAGAGAGGGAGACACAGAGTCCAAAGCAGGCTCCAGGCTTTGAGCTGTTAGCACAGAGCCTGATGCAGGGCTCAAACTCACAAACCATGAGATCATGACCTGAGCCAAAGTCAGACAATTAACTGACTGAGCCACCCAGGCGCCCCTATAATTATTATTTTAAACTTTGAAATTAATAAGTATATTATGGGAAAATACTTTGAGACCATGTAAATACCCTATTTTTCATCATATTTTTGCTTACTAATTTTAACATCCATTGATGATTCTTGACTGCAGCAATTATTACTGTGGTGTTGGTCAAGTGGTCATTTGCTATTTTCTACTCTAAGGAAGAGCTATTCTTTCCCCCCCATTTATTTAGTATTTATTTTTTATTTGTATCAGTATGGACTCATGGGTATTTATTTTATCTATGGATTATTCTCTATTTACTATCACTATTTTGTTCAAATTCTGTCAGATTCATTTTGTTCAAACCTTGGAGCTCTCTTCAAGTGTCCTTTCAATAGTCCTTTATTATGTTTTGATCATTTCTTACTTTCTAGCATCATGTGGCTCATTTTCTGATTTCCTTACCCCAACCCTAGATTCAGCTATTTAATTTCTTCAGGGAGCCTTGGTTTCTTTTTGGGCAGAATGGTACTTAGAAGCCAACATCTCTCTGCTAGGAGTGCTCATTACTACTGGGGCATCGTCTTTTTCTTTTTTTCTTTTAATTTTTTTCCCCCGTCTCTTCAGAGTCTCTTATCCTCATGAAGGTCAGTACAGTTCTGTGAAAAGGTGGGGCATCGTCTTTAAGCCTCATTCACAGAGCTAGGAAATAAAGGTTTTCCTACAGCCTTACTGACAGGATGTGTTGTCATACGTTTAAAATTTTGCCACACTGACAGGTGATAAATGGTATCTCAGTGTTGTGTTAGTTTGCCTTTGTCTAAATATGAAAGTTGTACAGTTTTATACACACACACACACACACATTCCGTACATGTCTGTATCTATTTTTATGTATGTCTGTATATATATTTTTAAAAAATGAGTTCGTATTAATATATCCAGTTCCAGTTCAACACTATTGTTTTTAGTTTTGCTTTATCTTTTTCCTTCTTTTATCTCCTTACTTTGGTCTTGAGAAACCTGGTCTCAATATAATTTGTTTGCTTAATCCTAGAATGCTCATAAAGTGGTAAACTTTCAGAAATATTAGCCCATACCCTTGTGAGAAGCAAATTTACCACTCAAGTACAATATTTGTGTCCAATTAATTTCTTTAGCCTTATGGAATATAAAGTACTGATTTCCAAAGTTTCTTAGGTTAGTTGTTTATATTATCCATTTTATTAGTTTATTCAACCACTTTCCCATATATGGTCATTTAGATTGTTTTCAACATTTTGCAGTTATAAACAATGCTGTAATAACCTTGTGCATATGTATTTCTGTATTTCGGGAAATGTAGCTTCAGGTAGGTTGCTAAAAGTAGCATTTTTAGGTCAAAAGGTAGGTGTAAATGTAGTTTTGTAGGTATTGCCAAATTCCCTCTAGAAGGGTTATACTGATTTGCATTTCTGCCAAAAATGTTCAAGAATGCCTGCTTCCTCATAGCCTCATCAACAAAAAATATGTAGTTTTTCTTTGTAGCTCTTCACTATCCAGTGGTATCTCAATATTGTTTTCATTTGTATTTCTTAAAATATGAGTGGGTTTGAACATCTTGTTAT